TTTCTCTTCTCCCCTCCTCTTTCTCTCTCTATCTCCCTCCCTCTCTTTCCTTCTCTCTCTCTCTCTCACTCACTCTCTCTCTCTCACTCTCTCTCTCTCACTCTCTCTCTCTCACTCTCTCTCTTGTAAGTATTTGATTCAATGAGAGGCGAACACCATACCTCTAGACTACGAGAGACCCCACTCTGAGTGTTTGAGAATGTTGTTGGGTCATGCTCTACACAACACCAACGGCTACTGAACAAACAAAAAAAAAAGGAATGAGCAAATTTAGTTCTTAGTTCAATTTTTGCGTGGTATTAGAGCCTTATCAAATCTATTTGACAGAATTGTGATAAAATATTGCTTGTTGCAGAGACAACATGCTCCATTCATTTGTGAGGCATCGTGGTGACATCGGGCGCTTGTCAAAGTAATGAAATTAAAGAAATCTGCATTTTTATGGACGTTGGACAATTATTTCTTTTTTTTTCTTTTCTTGGCTCAAAACTTTTCATCTCCATTTTAAAAGCACATATCTGTTTGGATTTTACTGAAAAACGTTGCTTAAAGGTACCCAAAAATGTAAATGATTCGTTTCAAAAGACTCTCAAGCTATTGAATTCATTACATTTTGGCAGCCATTTTCTTGTTAACTTTACCTCTGAAAACAGGCGATCCCACCTCATTCAATGGCAAATATCTCGACTTCTATTCAAGATAGGCGTGTATTTTTTTTCATCTAAAGCAGGACAATTAAAACAGTCTTTAAGATGATACCAACAACTTCATATGCCCAATTATTTAGGAGCGCCTGATTCCAACGCGTCGGGACACAAATACTTGGCAGTGTCTTTGATTCCACACAATGTTGCAAAGTCTGGATTCTAAAGGCTAATTTATTTTGAGCGACTATTTGTCGAGTGACTCTTATCGTAGATGAAATATCAATATGTCAAGGACTAAAACTGAATCGATAGTGCCGTTAAACACCCACTCAAGCACACGAACAATGTGTCAGTTGATATAGATTCTATTTATCTGTAAATTAATATGTTACATTAGTGTGTATCTAGAGTCATTAACATGATGATTCGGTGAATACATTTTCAAGTTTCTTTTTGACGCCGCTGTATATGTGGCACGAAGCGGTGGAATCAGGCTCTCGTCCATTTTTGGGCATGAATGGTGTTGAGCCAAAAAAACTATAATTCGATTTAAAATTCACAAACCCGCGGAGAAATGCCTGTTTCTTCACTTTGATTGTTTTGAAGAGTGTATGATTTCACCACGCTGCTTCACCTTAATATATTAACACTGAACTTAAAGTTTATTTTGTTGTTTTATTTTAGTAAGGTTTTACGACGATTGCAACTGCAAAAGGTCATATGACCACCAAGGGGTGGATGTCAACAGAAAAGTCCAAACAGGGAATCAGGATTACTCAGCTCACCTCTCTAGCTTCAACAGCATAAAGTCTGCTTCGACTATCAAGGCACCCCGGAAATAGCAGTTCCCAAGACAGAGACAAACATACAAAAGAAGTAGAGGAAAATGACGATAGTAAGGATAAGGAAAGAAAAAGCAACAGTTCCCCCTATGTTGTTCCGGCAAAACATGAGCATCATCTTCACCTATCCCGTAGACTGGATGTCTGTCGGGGCGCTTTTGAAGATTTGACCACCAGTTTCCTCCACTCCTTCCGGTCTTCAGCTTTCCTGAGCGTCTCTTTGAGTTCCTGGCCTGTCCACTCCTTGATGTTGTTCCCCCAACTCTTCTTCCGTATGCTTCTGCTCCTTTTTCCCTGGACCCTGCCTTGCAGGATCATGTTGGCAAGGCAGAATGAACGCGGATGTGTCCTGCAGATTGTGTTACCTGACCAGAGTGAGAAGGTCAGCATTTGATCCAATTTCATTTCTGATCAGATGTTTGACTTCATCATTTGTGATGTTATCTTTGTATGAGATACCAAGGGTTTTTCGGAAGCATCTCATCTACACAGCTTTGATCCTTCTTTCAAGGTCTGCATTCCAGGTCCACCACTTACATGCATACAAAAATACTGTCCTGACCAGGGAATGCATCTGTGTAATCTTTGATTTGATGGTGATATTTTTATCATTTCAGATAGTTTTCAACTTGGTCATTTCTGCAGAAGTTTGCGCTATTTTGGAGATTATTTCTGGTTTTAATCCATCGTCTGTCACTATTACACAAAGGTATTTGAGGCTGCGTACGGTCTCAAGTCTGTGGTTGTTGACCTAGATGTCCACAATAATGTTCTTGTTGCTGTTAGACATCAGTTTGGTATTCTCCGCACTGATTTCTATGCTATAGGCTTGGGAGGTCTTTTCAAGATGGTATATTATTAAGCTATCTAGTTCTTGCTCTTGTCCCACAATGTCGTCTATGTCGTCTGCAAAATGTTAGTTATTAATCGTTCTGCCCCCCAGTATTACCTGTTCCTTCTGATCTTCAAGTGCATTTGTCATGATCCTCTCCAAGAAAATATTGAAAAGAGTGAATTAATGCAGACAATACTGACAAATTCCCACTGTTTTTCAGAACCCTTCCTCGATGTTGCTGTTGAAAACGACAGCGCTCGCAGCTTTGTCGTATAGCTTTTCTATGACTTTGATCATGTTAGCGTTGATGTTGTAAAAGTTCATGGTTGCCCACAAAGCTTCCTGCCATACTCTGTCAAAAGCTTTTTTGAGGTCCACAAATACCTGGTGAAGCTCCTGTTGGTGTTGGAGGTATTTTTCCATGATGATTCTCGGGTTGAATATTTGTTCAGTTGAGCTGCGCCTTGTCTTAAAGCCTGTATGTTCTTCTGCTATGATTCTCTGAACTTGTGGCCTTAATCTGTTGAGAATGACTTTAAGCATTACTTTACTAGGATGGCTAATCAGGCTAATCGTACGATCATTTTGGCATTGTTGAAGATTGCCGTTCTTGGGAAGGGTGATGATCAGTCTATGGTGTTAGCCATTTGCCTGTCTGCCAGATCTTGTTGCATATTATGCATAGCTTGGCTATCACCGTGTCTCCTCCTGCATGTACTATTTGTGCTGTGATGTTGTCTATTCCAGCTGATTTCCCTTTCTTCAATGATGATACTGCTGCCCCTATCTCTTCTCTTACGATGCTGCTTTTGTCATTGTCTTGTGATTGGGAGACATTGAGAACTCTTGGATCTTCAGTGGTTTTATGGGTGAACAGTTCAAAGCAATATTCTCTCCACGGGTTCTGAACTTCACGTTCCCCCGTTAAACATTTCCCTTCTTTAGTTGATATTGAAGTGGTCCGCCCTTGTTTGGTACTTGTGAGATCCTTGATGATTAAATAAGTCTTTTTACTGTTGTTCTGATTCAGGATGTCTTCTATTTCTTCACACTGTTCTTCAATCCACTTCTCCCTAGCTCATCGCATTCCCTTATTTACTTGCAGATTCCTCTCCCTGTATTCTTTTGCACCTTCTGGTTCTTTTTTTCTTGTTCTTCAAAGCTCTTCATTTGTCACATAGGTCAAAGATGTCATCTTTGACCCAGGGCTTCTTTTTCACGGTATGTTTCACAAGGACCTCATTTGCTGTTTCTGTCCTGGCAGTGTTGAAGGTGTTTGTCAGGGAGCCAACTTCTGTGTCATCTTGATTTAGCGCTAGGAGTGGAACAAACGTTCCTCCTATGTTTCCTTGAAAACTTATGGTTAGGTGTTTGAGTCTTTCAGAGGGAGCTTGTGGCCTAGAGGTTAAAGTGTTCGCCTCTTATTCAAAGGTCCCGGATCTGGGTAGTGACGGAAAGATTTCGTCTTTAAAATTGTCTCCTTTCACCTTATTTCCTGCTCTCTAACAATATTCTGTCGTCTGCCTTCTGCCCCCATCCCCTCACCTCCTTTTCTCCCTCCTCTGGGCCCCTGACTCTTTCTGCAGCCGTCCTACAGCTTCTCCTTGACTCCTTCTTACTGCTGTCTTTCAGCCACACCCTTGATCTTATGGTAGGAAAGATATGCACCTAGCCTTCTCGGACAAGGGTGGAAAATCTTGGAGGTCCCGTGTGCCAGTTGCGCTTTTTAAAGATACCTTGGTGGTCTAAAATGGATAACAGTAAGCTTTGGCCGCCACCTGGGCAAAATTCAAAATTTCCAACCAACTGAAAATATTTGGTATGTCCGCGTGCTCATATCGTATGCAGTTGCGAGTGCCGTAAAACAGTTACCAAAATGAGTCTTTCAAGGTTGAATTTGATCCTGGTGTTACCTTGTTTCTTGCACTTTTTAAGACTCAGTGAGAATGTCATCATGACAAGGTTATGATCACTGCCGATGTCTGCTCCTGGGAAACTTCTGGTCTGGGCAATGTTGACACTGCTTTGAAAGCGAAGCTTGACCATCATGTATGAGATTGGCATTGATAAATCAGTCTATTTACAATTCTACTGTGTGTAAAAACATGTTAACACCCCCCCCCCCTTTTATTTGGGGTTTATTTTAGTTCGTACAAAAAAAAAAAATCAAACAGGTAGAAACAAATGTTCTTCTAATTCGGTCGAAAACGTTCCTTGAAAACAACGACAAAATAACTGATAAAGGAGTTGACAGGCAGACAGATATTACAGACAAATAGACAGATTTTGCGTGGGAAAAAACTGATTTATTGTTGCGACAGGTATAGAAGGGGAGCTTGACCTCGTGTCAGTTAAAACTGGTCTCTACGGGGTGAGATGAGAGAAAAGGGGGAGGGGGAGGAGGAGAGGGAGGGGAGAGGGGAAAGGAGAGTGAAAGACAAAGAGAGAGTGGTGAGTGATCGAGTGAGGGGTAGAGAGAGGGAGAGGGTGGTGTGAAAGGGAGAGAGAGAGAGAGAG